TTTTTTTATAAATTTATATGAAATCAGTAGAAGTCTTTCGCAAACTTCTATGGACTTTCATTTTAAAGCTTTCATAGATATTTGTAAAATTTAAATGATTTTTAAAAAGTTTGATTTTAAATAGAATTCCTATGGATATAGTACAATAGTATGAAATTCTCACATACGAAGTATTAATTTCCACAATTCTCATTTCCTTTCCTCTTCCTATACAATTAAAAGAATAAAAATTTAAGACCTTAATTAAATAAATAATAAACAATGAAAAATAAATTTAATATTTAATATTATTAATATAATATACCTTTAAAGAGTAGGTAAAAAATCAATATATTTAGATTTAATTATAATATTGTCTATATAAAATTATATAATTTAATTAAAAATAGAATGGAGAAAAGTGATAGCAGTACCCATTTCCTGAGTTGAGTCAGCACCTATTTTTCACAAAAAAGGAATGACAAAAGAAAAAAAAAATATAAGAATCTAATTTAATTTCCTCTTAAAAACTAGATATAAACAATAAGAGAGAGAGAAAAATAGAAATAAATATAATCAATAAAAAAATAAATTTTATTCATAACTCTAATGTTCGGAGAAGGGAAAATGAAAGAGAATTATTATTATTATTATTATTATTAATTTTTTTTTTTTTTGTGAAAGTCTTTTAAAATCTCGTGATTAATGGAAGACATATTTTGAGATTTTATTTTATTACGATTTGTTCAAAAGTTAGCACCCCGGAGACTTTAATAAAAGTCTCTAAAAATTTGAATATCGAAAAGTTTATAGAGATTTCTAAAAAAATCTAATTGAATACATCGTGACTTATAGAGACTTTTTAAAAAAGTTATAAAAGTCTCAATTGAATACACTAAATTTTCAGAGAGTCTAAAAAATCTACATTAAATACCCCTAAACTTTTTAAATCCCAAAAAATGATTAAAAATCTTAATTGAATACACTCCCTTAATGCATTAAAAATTATGAAGATTTAAAAAGGACATAGTTGACGTAATAATGATAATAATAATAAGGAGAGAAGGAGAGGTAAGACGTGTACATGAAAGCAAGCACGAGAGCAGAGCTTCTCACTTATAGAATTGTAAATCAAATGAGGGTATAATAGACATATAACTAAATATATAAAAATGAAATTGGTATTCAAAAGTTTTTCCACAATCCATCATTTTTAAATACCAAAAATTCAATTACGTATACACTAGTCAAAGTTGAACATCCATTGGACGTTATTCTAAAATATTTTATAAATGGTGTAAAAGTAATATTTGGTACCAATTTGCCAATGAATTTGATGATTCTCGGATGAACTAAAGAAAATAAAATTTAACATAGAAATTTATGAGAAGAAAATTGTACTCAAATTTACTTTTAAAACTCAATTTCTATGATTCATAATTTTTGTAATAATGAAATGCTATAAATGAGTAATATTTCTATATTACATTTGATACATAAATTTAAACATCCAATAAAATTTATAGATGCGTGAATATGAATAAATTCATCTTTAATAACTTTAGATTCATGAAATGCAAGATTCATCAAGTGAAAAATTTATTGAATCTAGGTTAATGTGAATGTTAATTAATTGAGAATTAATAACACAAACTTCATAAGTGACAATAATTATGTAGTATTTATTATTTATCGAAAAACGAAAAGTAATGTATTATTAAAATAATTGAATTGTAGGGGTTAAAATGTCCAAAAATTGATTCTCCACTGATGTGATATTTTAATATCTTATAGACTACAGATTTAAATCACACAATATTTTAAGATTTATGTCTTTTTACCTTGAATAATGGTTTTCATTTTTTACCCTGGATAACTTGTAATATTTTTATTGCCTTATATTTTAATTTTTTTTAGTAGTTAAAGATGTTGCTTTAATTTATTTTCCTTCGACTATCGATTCAAATTCTAACAAAGTGATTTTAAAGATCTCGTTAAATTTCAACTTGAATTTAATTCTATCTTATCTATATCTTTGACCATGGCCATTTTGATTAAAAAAGCCTTTTCTCTAAAATTAAAAATCAAAAGTCAAAAGTAAAATAATTTTTAGCAAAATTATTTAGTCTCGAGGTGTCCTCACTTCAGAGATTTTTGATGAAATTTAAACATCTTTCTAAATTCAAGTGTCAAAATCTAGAAATCTTTAATTGAGAATTTAATAAATTTTAATGAAATTTTTGGAAATTTAATCCATAATTTATTAAATATTATATCAAGTGAGATTTTTTTTTTTTTTTGGAACAATTTTAACTTTACTATAATTCAATTATTTTAAGGGAAAATTGTAACAGAAGCCCCCAAACCTTTAAAACACTTGCAAACTTTCTCCAAAGTTTTGATTTGTTGTAACCGTCACCCCTAACATTTACATACGTTGCAGTGAAGGTCTTTTTGGACGGAAACCGTCCAAACACCCATCAGTTGACCATCCAAATAAAAAATTGGCCACCTTAACAAAAATAGAGGAGGATAAAATCGTCCAAACACTTAAAACACATCTTCATCTTCCTTTTTACTTGTTCGTTTCCCTCCAAATGCAGAATACAAGTACAACCGTAATAAATTGTCTGTCAGTTGTCAATTTCTCACTCTCTATCAACATCCTGAATCGAACATAAAAGAAATGGAGATGCCAGTATGCAATTGTGGAACTCGTGCCCAGATAAAGACATCGTGGACTAACTTGAACCCAAGTAGAGGATTTCTTACCTATCCATAAGGGATGGATCTACAAGGCTGTACATTCTTTCTTTGGTGGGATCTCTCAATTTATCAGAGATCGAGGGAGCTGATACCTGGTCTTCTGAGGTCGAGACAAGAGATGGGAGCTGAAATTAGGCAACTCCGTTTGAATGGAAGACTTGGTTTTGTGGGTTTGTACGTGGAACGTTTGTGAAGTAGATCTACAGTTAAATTTGCGTAGGTTTTTTGGGGTTTTTTTAGCTGGATCTGTAATCATCCTTTCTTCATGGTGTAACCTACTTCCCTTACATTAATCAAGGCTTAAATGTAGTTGCAATTTTGTGGTGTTCTATACATATTCACTGTTAACATTGACCAATTTTATTTTCGAATAAATATGCAAATATTAACATCCAAATGTTTGGTAAATGTTGCAGTGAAAGCCTCAAACGTTAGGTATATAGTGCAAATAAAGCCACTAACATTTCCAAGATCTTCCAATCCGGTTGCACCCTCAAACGTGGGCTGCAAAAACGTACCATAGACCAATTTTCGTAGTGATCCCCTTAGATGACACGCACATTCAACATCTCCGTTGTCGACTTCCTCGACTTCAGGCAAGTTCATTGTCCCTTTCTTCGCAAATCTTTCTTCTCTTCTTCCCATTAGTCGTGCGCCAGAAATTCGAAAAAAAGTAAAAAGGAAGATGAAAAGGTGTTTTAAGTGTTTGGACGATTTTACCCTCCTCTATTTTGGTTAAAAGTGGTTAATTTTTTTTTTGGCGGTCAACTGACGAGCGTTTGGAAGGTTTTCGTCCAAAAGGGCCTTCACTGCAACATATGTAAAGGTTAGAGGTAACGACTGCAACAAATAAAATATTTTATGAAAGTCTGCAAGTGTTTTAAAAGTTTGATTTTATTTAAATAGGAGGATATTTTGGTAATTGTACATTAAAAATGGTGAAAATGACGTTTTTAGCAATGAAACATTGAAATAAGGACGAAAATGCAAAAAAATGAAACGTAGTGACATTTTCCGTAATAAGTGTCAAACGTAGGGACATTTTGTACTATTAACCCAATCTTGTCTACATGAATTTGGAGTAATTTTAGATACATTTATTTATATTCATGTATCTAAAAAAATTTAATGGGTATTTAAATTAATCAATTAACAGTTAATTTTTATGTACCAAATGTAGTATAAAAATGTTGTTCATTTGTAGTATTTCATTAACAGTAAAAATTTGAATTATAGACTCTCTTAAAATTTTATTTTCCTTAGTTCGTTTGAAATTCATCAAATTCTTAAAATAAAATAGTATCAAATATTACTTTTACAGTACTTATAAAGTATCTTAAGATAATGTGCAATGCACGTTCAACTCCAACTAATAATCCTAAATGACTCCTAGCTTTATAAGAATTTCATTAATAAATGAATTTTAATAAATTATTTGGATTTCAAGTTTAAAAATACTTATAATAAGCTCTTTTGAAATTTCACAATTTTAACGAAATTCTAGCTAATTCGTGAAAATCTATTAAAATATACTAAGGGTCTGTTTGATTGCAAAAATGAAATTTGGGTGGAAAGAAAACGAATTTCAGGAAATTGAATTACGTAGAAATTGATTTATTGGGAATTGTGAATTATTGTGTTTGATTAATATAATTTTTCACGTATAAAATATTGAAATAAAAGTATTTTTGGTGTTCGTTTGATTTTGTTTTATATGAAAATTGTCAATTAAAGAGATATAATTGATTGGTATTGGGGATGAAATTTGTTTCCATTGCAAAAAAAAAAAATTCAAGAAAATCATCTATTTTTTGGTGTTCGTTTGGTTTTATTTTACATAAAAATTGTCAATTAACGGGAAATATTTTTTTACAATAATTTTTAGAATTTATTTCCATTGAAAAAGAAAAAAAGAAAAAAAAAGTCAACAGTAACCGAAAAAATCAATTCCCACCCAAGAAAAATGCAGCTCCCAAGAAATCCAAGAATTTATATTCCATGGAAAATAAACCCCTATCAAATACATCAAAGTTGACAAATGCTACCCAAATTCTATTTTCCATGGAAATGTTTTGACAATCAAACGGTGTCTAAAATTCACTCAAATTTATTCAAAATTCGTCAAAATCTATGTTTGAAAAATTGCAGTTTCAGTCCTAAACTTTTATAAATAAAGCACATCTATCCATAATAAAATGTTTTATAAAGCGGACAGACATTGCCCGATTGCCGTGACGGCACTCCGCTTTAACCGCGAATTTGGATTTTTTCTGTTTTTTTTTTTTTTTTTTTTCTCTCTCTCTCTAAACTTTTCTTCACCTTTCAAAACCGCTCTTTCAACTCTGCCTTTATTTTTCACTCCCCCTCTCTCACTCTTCTCATTTTCCCCTCAAAAACTCCGCCAATACAATGCTTTAACCCTTGAAAAATATCTCAATATAAGCTCAATTTTCCTTTTCACTCTCTAACTCTCAATTTTTGGTTGAACAATTGTCAAGATTCGGTACATTTCACGCTTCCGTCTCCGATCGGTAGTTTCTCTCTGCATTTTGTTCCTACAGTTTGTGTTATATTATTTAATTTTCAATTCAAATTTTTTCTGTTGTATTATCATTAATTTTTGAGGTTTTTTGTGCGATCAAGTTGATTATTTTGGTCAAATTGTCTATTTGTATTCTCGATTTTGGATTTTGAAATTCTGTGTGTTTGAAGTAGAATTACTGGCAATATGATAATGTTACTATGTGAGAGATGATGATGACGACGAAGACGATTTAAGTTAATATTTAGAAGGTGAAGATTGTGTTTCGTTGAGATGGCGTAATAGATAACGACAATGTTTGGTATGTAGTCAAAAAATGGATGTGACGCCCTAACTCCCCTCCCCAGCGGCCAAAGAAAAATGAAAAATGAAAAACAAAATAGAGAGACATGAAATACTTGATGCTCTGTGATTTATTTAGTTATTTCATTTGTTGCCGCCTTAATTATTAGTAAAGTAAGAAATACTGGCTAGTTACATTTTCTTATTTGTTGGCATCACCAGCATGTGAACACCGGTTTTTGGTTCTTTTGTTTTTTACATTTTTCGACCAAGATATAACTAGAAAGAAGTGATAGGCATATAATTGTGGGAGGAATCATAGAATATGTGTGAGTTGTGACAGTTACTTGTGCTTGTTACTGAATTTCTTGAGCATGTGATTTTTGTTGATTCCGAAGTAAATATATTATGGCAAGCTGTCAACTTCACCTTTCAAAAGACCCCACTTGCACTGTAAATTGTTTGGACTTAGATTATAGTAGCTTTATTTGACTGTCTTAATACAAGCTTTCAGAGGGCCAGGGACTTAAACTCATTATTCATTAGTTCATTTCCTATTTGTTTATCTTCTTTTTCCTGTGTTTTAAAATTATTTTTCCGTCCTTTTATTGTATTTCTGTCCTTTTTCCTTTTGAATGCATGCATGCACATGCTTATAAGCATGTAGCTATGGTCCAATGTCTTCATTTGGACTTCTTTGGGTTGCTTTGTGCTTTTTGTTAATAATATATTTGCTATAGAAATTCTTAACACAAGAAAATTATCTTTACTTTCTAGAATCTACTTAAATGTAGGACATCTTTAAATTTTTCTGCTAATTACTTTTCCCCATTTATTGTTTGCTTTAATCGTGTCATCGGTACTGGGAGATGGTGAAAAGGTATTGAATGCCCTTTGATAACATATCAGATATCTATTGATTTTCTTATGTAGAAGGATTTTAATATTATTTTTTTTTCTGGGCCTCAGCAGCTTTTGAAATGGTTTGGAACAACACAGTTAAAATCAACCGTTACAAGAATGATTTAATGAGCTAGTAAACCAAATTCTACAAGCTTGAATAGTCAGTTGCTATCATTTACATCTTTTTAATTATCATAAAAATATTTAAAGATGTAGGATTATCATACATGCGTCTTTATGATCCCATGCTTCATTAATTTCCTAGTTAAGATGGCTCATCTAGACTCTTTTTAAGGAAAGAGAACTTGAGATGGAGTGGTAATTATTTTAATATGTTGACTATCCTGCCATTGTCACCTCTTGCCCTTTTCCCATTTAGTTCTCCACGTAGTGTTCTATTTAGCAGTAAAGCTGTTGGACACATTCCATGCATTCAACTTTCTTACAATTGCAGTCTTGTGATATTTTGCTTAGGAAATCAATATCTTGCTATTTAGCAACTTTTATATATTTTCCAGCAGTTTGCGCTTTAAAGTTTTTCCTCTGGCGTGTCATCATTTTATTTATTTATATTTCTTGATAGACAGGGATCTAGTGAAACAATTGTCTTCATGTCTTTAAAATCAAATCAACAAAGGCAACTCCATTTTAACTTTTGTAATAAAATTAATGTCCAAACATGCCAAGTATAAGTAGTTCTTAATTCTATCATTTTTTTTTGGAAATGAAATAGCAGTTCCTCGTTCTCTTAAATGATTATATCTTGATTAAATTGTATGTTACTAGCCATTTTCTTTGGCTCTATGATAGTTTTATTTCACATTCGCTTCTCTTGTAGATTGATGGTTTAGGATTCCATTGCATCCACATTTATTGTTGCAGGAGTTTTATGTTCAATTGCTCATTTTGCTTAGCCCTATTATACGTTCCTTCTGTTTCCAGGCCAGTTGCTTTGGCAAGATCAGGTTGTGTGGAATTCGTTTCTACCCTGCATCTTCAGAGCTTTTTAGGACTTCTTATTCAGTCATGGCTGCTGACTCGGATGTTGGCCTTTCTAATGGAAAAGTTAATGACCATGTTGATCCTCAGAGGACTTACCAAGTTGTTGTTGCTGCAACTCAAAGTATGGGTATTGGTAAGAATGGGAAAGTTCCATGGAGATTGCATTCTGATCTCAAGTTTTTCAAAGATGTTACTGTGACCACCTCAGATTCATCAAAGAAGAATGCTGTTATAATGGGTAGAAAAACTTGGGAAAGTGTTCCCCTCGAGCATCGTCCTCTTCCAGGTCGGCTCAATGTAGTCCTGACTCGTTCAGGAAGTTTTGATATTGCAACTGCTGAGAATGTTGTGATGTGTGGAAGCATGAATTCTGCTTTGGAACTGTTAGCGGGATCTCCTTATTGCCTGTCAATTGAAAAAGTATTTGTTATAGGAGGTGGAGAAATTCTAAAGTGAGTGAATCTGTTTGTTTACTATGTCATTCAGTGTTGGTCGAGCTTATTTTTGCCTCAAACCCTTTTTTGTTTCTGCAGGGAAACCCTCAATGCACCTGGATGTGATGCTATTCACATTACAGAAATTGAGGGAAACATTGAATGCGACACTTTCATCCCAGCTATTAATAATTCTGTATTTCAGCCATGGTACACATCTTTTCCATTGGTTGAGAATAAAATTCGATATTCATTCACCACTTATGTCCGGGTGAGGAATTCAGTAGTTGCAGACTGTAATCCACCAAATGATGTGACTCATAGTGGCCCTGGTTCTGCTAGGATTGGGTACAAAACATTCACTTTTTTACCTAAAATGATTTTTGAGAGACATGAAGAATACAAGTATCTGAGACTTGTTGAAGACATTATTTCTAATGGCACCTTAAAGGATGATAGGACAGGGACTGGAACTCTGTCAATATTTGGCTATCAGGTATTGCAATTTTACATTATGCCAGGCTGGTAGATTCTTGCTTTTAAAATTTTATCCCGGACTGCTTTTATGATATTAATGATGACTTGATGTTCTCTTTCGCTTTTTTCACAGATGAGGTTCAATCTTCGAAAATCTTTTCCGCTCCTTACAACGAAGGTATGTTCTAGAATATCTTAAAAATTGCATAGTGGACTAAAATGAATGGACCTTCTTTCCTTATCACTCGATGTTCATGTAATCCTCACCTATTTCACAGAAGGTTTTTTGGCGAGGTGTCGTTGAGGAACTTTTGTGGTTTTTAAGTGGTTCAACAAATGCTAAGGTGATTTTTTTTTCTTTTCATTTTAATGTTTGGATAGTTCAGGTTGTATTCCCTATCCCGCTTTTTTTTACTCTTAGACTTTATTATGTTGTGTGGGCAGATACTACAGTGCATGCTTGATTTGTTATTTATCAATTTGGTGGTTTATTTAGCTTTCACATTTAGCATCTTATGTTCTGATACACTTCTAATAATACAGGTTCTACAAGAAAAGGGGATTCATATATGGGATGGCAATGCATCTAGAGATTACCTTGACAGGCAATTTCATGTTTTTTACTTCATTACTGGGCCTGATATTCTTTTGAAGCAATTCAATAAAAGTTTAGGAACTTATTTTTTTGTACTTCAGCATTGGTTTGACTGAGAGGGAAGAGGGTGACTTGGGACCAGTATATGGGTTCCAATGGAGACACTTTGGTGCTAGGTTGGTGAATCTTTTATGAGGTGCTGATTCATATCGTGCTTACTTTGAAAGCATAACTTCAATGTCACCTGGTTGAATTTTGATCACAGGTATACTGACATGCAAGCTGACTATACTGGCCAAGGATTCGATCAGCTGATGGATGTTATCAACAAAATAAAAAACAATCCTAATGATAGGCGGATTATACTTTCTGCTTGGAATCCTTCTGATCTCAAATTGATGGCACTTCCACCTTGTCACATGTTTGCACAAGTCAGTATAAAGAACTGTTTTTCAAAGCATATGCTTGAAGATGTTACAATGAAAGTTGTTTTCAATGCTTCCCAATATATTCTCGTCTTCAGGTGTTCTTTTCATATTTCCTTTTGCAGTTTTATGTGGCCAGTGGGGAGTTATCTTGTCAAATGTATCAACGCTCAGCTGATATGGGTCTTGGAGTGCCATTTAACATTGCATCATATGCCTTGTTGACATGCATGATTGCTCATGTTTGTGGTATGCTTTCACAGAAAATTTATGTTTACCATCTATTATTGTTGACGATTGAGTGAGTGTAGTTTTTTATGTTTTGCGATTTTGAAGTGTTATTTCTTATATTTTGGCTATGTATTCTTTCACCCACAATAATGCTCATAAATAACGAAATATGTTAATGGTGTTACAGTGAGTATGGAGTCATAACTGAACAGTGATGTCCCAAGATCTAGAGACCGAAAAAGACACTGAGAATACTAGGTGCTAGTTTTCTGCAAATCACATTAATTTTGTCAAAAGTCCGAACCATGATTAATGCAACTACCTTGGAATTGATTTTATAAGTTGTTTAATTCCAAGCCGTTATATCATACGTATTGTAAGCTTTGAATGTACATCTGCCCATTTACCCCAACGGCTTTCTATCACGTCTCCTAAGATTCGAACCTAAGACCTCTGCCTATAAATTTGGACAGTACATATGATATAATGGCTTGGGAACATAGGCCTGATTGTTAAAACTTTTCTTCTTGCAATTTTCTCTTTGTGCCTTTTGCCAAATTGTAGGAAATAAGGTTTTAGGTGTTGCTATTGTTGTATTCTTTGGATATTCATATATGTATTCTCCAGATACTCGAGAATTAATATATATTATTTTCCTGAGTAGGTAGAATTTAGAATGGTAACAAGGATTTGCATCAATGCACGGGGATGAAACTGTTTGTTGCTTGCCTTGTGCAACATCAGACATAATCATTGTTTGTGAACATCCCTGCATGTTTAAGTATTTGCCAGTATTCAACATCAACATTTATATTTGCCTACTCGCTGTCTGTTGATTACCTTCAGACTCAATGTCGAAATCCATTACAGATCTTTCTCCAGGCGACTTTGTCCATGTGATTGGGGACGCTCATATTTATCGCACTCATATTAGACCTCTGCAGGACCAGCTTCAGAAAAAACCTAGACCTTTTCCAGTGAGTATCATCTGTGTATAGATGGCTGTTTAGAAATTAAGAAGGGAATGTGAATCATAATTTTACTGACCTCCCTTAACTCTTCAACCCCCTCCTTAAATTTGACATTCTGTTTTTGGGTCTTTTTGTTGTGGTGGGGGGTGGGGGGGGGGGTTGAAGTTCTTCGATGTTCGTGAATATGACATGTTACTGCATGTTTGGATAAGCTTAAAAAGTAAACTTATAAGTGAATAACTAGTTTTGAAATAAACAATTTTTTTTCCCCCTAAATTGACTAACTTATCTTGAACATTAAGGCAAAAGTTACTACCAAAAGAAGCAACTTTTTTTTACTTAAAAGTAAGGCAAAAGTAATTTGTCCAAATATTTTTGGTGAGAAAAGTTACTTTGTTTAAAGCTTAGCCAAACATGCTCAACGTCTTTCACTTCTCTTGATCTAACTGATAATAAAAATGAGCAGATGCTGAAGATCAATTCTGAGAAGAAGGATATTGATTCCTTTGACGCTGCTGATTTCGAGCTTATTGGGTATGATCCTCATGAGAAAATAGAAATGAAAATGGCAGTATAGACTTGCTGGTTTTCTTAACAAGTGAGAAAGGAAGCATATTGAAAATGTTCTTTCATCTTAATTTTGAGGCAAGTTCTCTATTTCTGCTTATAATTTGTATCATTTGAAAGCGCTTTTCTGAGCCAAAAATTTCCACTTGGTGCTGGTTTATGTTTTTTTATTTTTGATTAACTAGTATAAACCACGTTTTCAAATAACAATATTAAAAAGTTCACCTTGGAGTTGACATTTAGACGTGTAAAGTGTGCGTTGAAAGTATTATGTACATCAAACTTACTAATGCATGTTTAGTGCATACTATTGGATAAGACTGAACACTATTGTAGACAAATTTAATTTCTTTTTCATATTTAATAATGTCGAGTCTAACCTACCAAACACAACATTAATGAATTATTAATTACGATAATTTTTCTCTTCCAAATATTGCAGGTAATGCTGGTATTGACAATTACAACTAAAGAATTACAAAATGGCTGTGCTAAACTACTAAATATCTAGAAGCTTACTGTCCTTAGTTTCATGTAGAACTGGTGTTTTTGAGGTGATTTCAGGTCATAGAATCGACTTGATTTTTCTCTCTTTTTGTTGTGATGTTGGAAGAGTACTTCCCTTTCTTTTTCTCTAATAATAGTCGTACTGTTTTTTGAGGTTTTCTTCAACGCCATCCATTTGGTTGCTATATTATATGCAGCGAGGAAAAATTTGTCCCGAGTGACATGTTTCTCACCGAAACCTGCAATTTTATCAGGATGGATTTATTAAGGTGTATTCAATTGGAACTTTTGAATACTTTGATGGATTTCTTTTAAGTGATGATTTTTGTGAATTTTGTGGATATTTTACAGATTTGTATGGAATTAGTGGAAGTTTTTCGTAGACTTCTGTGGATTTTTATTTTAAAATTTTTATAAACTTTTGTGGAATTCGAAAGATTTTTGAAAACTTTCATTTGAAATAGAATTTACGTGGATCTAGTGTAAAGTTCTTACATACGAGAGGTGTTAGTTTCCAAAATTCCTCTTTTCCTTTACCTATTTCTTCCTATATATATATGAGCCGTGCCACTGCAACAGGAGGCTCTGATCGAACCCCACAAATAGGAGGGAGGCCCCATGTTTTCTTGCGGGACCCACCCCCATTAGGGGCTTCTGTCAAGGAGGCGGTCAGCTTTCCTATTACATGATCAAAATTCTATATATATAAGTATCGTTTGGTACACATTAATGTAAAAATGAGAATGAAAAATATAGTCGTTACGGATCCCACACAAGAAATAAAAAGTCAAATATGGTGGCTTGATGTGATGGATAACAGTCATATTTTTCATTTTAATGGACGAATAATGGAAAACGAACGGGAGCATAAATTTTAATAATAAATTTTTCATATAAAATTTTATACTTTAATAAAAAAATAGATATTTTTCAAACAAAAATGAATAATAATAATAAAAAAAAAGCTACAAGAATTTAAATTATTTTTTTCATTGAAAAATAGAGATAGATGATAAGAGAGAAAGAAATATAAATAGAATATAATCAACAGAAAAAAATAAATTTTAATCATACATGTCCATAGAAAGTTAAAGAAAAAAAAAAGAATTTGTGTTTTTGTTTTTTGTGAAAATCTCTCAAAATCTCGTGATTAATGAGAGACAAATTTTATGATTTTATACGAGTATTTTCTGCTTAGAAGTTTATAATCCAAATATTTTTATAAAATTATCTAGAAGTCATTAAAATTTAATACTCTTAGATTTATAGAGACTTATAAATTTTTTTAATTGAATACAATGTAGTTTTTAGAGACTTTTTAAAAATTTATAAAAGTCTTAATTGAATATATCGTGACTTTTAGAGAGTTTCAAAAAGTCTTGTAGGAACAAGGATCGTTTTCGAAACAACAAAAATCGCAAAGAACTAAGATCAAATATGTAAATCTGAACTTAAAGCAGTAAGAACACAAAGCGATTTTTCAGCCGAAACCCCGAGGTTCAGCGATTGGTTAGATCGCCTAATCCCCGTTGAGCATCCACAAGGGAATAAGCTCGAATCCACTAAATCAAACGGTCAAATACAGCAAATGTATCAAGAACACACCGGAACACAAAGTTCCAATCACAGCACCACAAATCTCTCAGTACATAAACGAACTCACACAAGAGTTCAAAAATTAACTCTCACTCAAAGATCTACAAACAGATCACAAGAAAAAATCTACAAATTACAGAGAGAACACGAAGGGTAAAGGAGACGGCTGTGAGAGAGAGAAAAATGAAAAGTGTGTTGACTCATATCTCAAACCCTAGTAACAATAATAATTTGATTCACGCAAATCAGATCCAACGGTCCACATTGCACCACGTGTCACAGATCAGGGGTAAGTTGCTATTTTAATTCACAAAACACGCTTTTATCATTTAACAACCAATTCCAGATCCTTCTCGCCGTTGGGCTTGAACCGGGTTAGGTAAGTTGGGCTGGACCATCACATTGATAAAACAGCAACCCAATAACACTAACAATCTCCACCTTTGCTATTTTTGTGCATCTCTAATAGTGGATTCAAACTTACTTCTCATTTCACTTGCTCTTATTACCTGTAAAAACAAAATAAAGGAATCAGTCTTCTTCAAGATTAATCAGTCTTAAAGAATCAACAAATTTAGTGATAGGGATTACCTTAGTTCCAGCATCTGCTGGATTTACTTTAGTAGGTATTTTGATTAATCTAATATCACCCCTATCAATGATATCTCTAATGAAATGGAACTTTACATCTATATGCTTAGATCTATCATGCAAAATAGGATTTTTACTTAGAAAAATAGTGCTTTGGTTATCTGAACACAGCTCCACCTGACTTTCTATAAGTCCTAATTCACTAAGTAAACCCTTCAGCCACAAGCCCTCTTTAACTGCTTCAGTTGCAGCTATGTACTCAGTCTCGGTTGAGGACAATGCAACTAATTTTTGAAGTTGGGATTTCCAGCTAATGCATGTGTCATTTATGACATAAAAGTATGCAGTTGTAGACTTCCTATTGTCTGGGTTTCCAGCAAAATCTGAATCTACGTACCCCTTAAGTTTAAGTCCATTTTTATTTGTTTTGAACAATAAACCTAAGTTACATGTTCCTTTTAAATACTTAATCAGACTTTTCATGCATTGCCAATGTATTTCACCTGGGTTACTCATAAACCTACTTAATACACTCACAGCATAAGCAATATCAGGTCTAGAGCATACCATAACATACATCACAGATCCAACAGCATTAGAGTATGGAACATTCATCATTCTTTTATGTTCCTCTTCAGTTTTAGGTGATTGATCAACAGACAATTTCATTCCAGCAGATAAAGGCAAAGAGACAGGCTTAGATTCATGAAGGGAAAATCTTTTAACAACCTTATCAATGTAAAATTTTTGTGATAGAAACAACTTTCCATTTTTCCTATCTCTTTTTATTTTCATGCCCAATATCTTTCTAGCTGATCCTAAATCTTTCATCTCAAATTCAGATTTCAGATTTTCTTTAATAGAGTTAATTGCATCAGGATTATGACCAGCAATGAGCATATCATCAACATATAACAACAGATAGAAAAGATCAGACTCATTTTCTTTCTTATAATAGAAACAGGGATCATAATCAGATTTCTTGAAGTTCAGGCCTTGTATAAAGTAGTCAAATCTTTTATACCATTGCCTAGGGGCCTGTTTCAGGCCATACAATGATTTTTTCAGGAGACACACTAAGTTTCCCTTACCAGACACTTCAAACCCTCTTGGTTGAGTTATATGTATGGTTTCATCTAAAGAACCATACAAGAAGGCAGTTTTCACATCAAGTTGTTCTAATTCCAAGTCAAATTGTGTCACTATAGCAAGTAGGACTCTAATGGATGTATATTTAACAACTGGTGAAAATATTTCGTTGTAATCTATCCCTTCCCTTTGATTAAAGCCTTTGGCTACTAATCTAGCTTTGTATCTTTTATCATTTGCCTTAGTCTCACCCTCTTTAATCTTATAAATCCATTTACAGTCAATTAATTTGCAATCTCTGGTTTTTTCTACTAGAATCCAGGTTTCATTCTTAAGGAGTGAGTTCATTTCATCTTCCATTGCGGCAATCCACTTAGAGGATTCCTTGGAAGAAACAGCCTCTTCATAAGAGGCAGGTTCTAATTCAACCAAGTCAGAATTAGACTGATCAGATGCAAACTCGGCATACTGATACCTAGACGGAGGTCTGATTTGTCTCCTTTCTCTATCTCTAGCTAGATGGTAGCCTGCAGGTTAGGTGCAAGCTCCAGATTTTCTTCATCTTGAATTATTTCAACATCAGAATCATTTTGGGATAATATCTGATGTGGCTCCACCTCAAACTGAGCCTGGTCATCAGCATTGTGGTTGTCAATATTAATTTATGTGGCAATGAATTCATCATTCCCCAATTTTTCAACAAATTTGTCACTAAGACAAAGGAATTCATTTTCATTAAAGATAACAGATCTGCTTGTTATCACCTTATAACCCCAT